TGACTTCTTACCCATTTTGTAGGGTTTTTTTATCAAAGGTAAAGTTATGTTCATAGCTGGGAATCATTTTATGTGGACATCTGTAAAAACATAGCTTATTTTTCACATTTTTTTTAGTTTAATTCAAGGGACCAACTATTGGAGTATCTTCTGGACTGTGACATCATCATCTATAACATCATAGAAACACCTGAGCAAATTGACGAAGCCTCATGGACAGTTTCAGGTTCTTACTTATCACTTCCTTTTTCAACAATAATTATGTGTCATCTGCTTAATGTCTTTCATATTTTTTGTTCCCCAAATGATCAGTGTTCCATCAAGATCAAAATAAAAATCCTTGTCTTAGTTACCTCTTGGAGAAGTTGTTAATGTTTCATTTGTTAAAGAAATGGTGTGCTGAATTTTATAAAACACTCAAAAGGGGGCTTATATCTTCCCCCACTAATTCAGAACAGAACTCCTGCTAGGTTTTGCAAAAACAGAAATTACTGGAGAAACTCGGCAGGGTTTGGCAGGATCCGTGGAGAGAAAGCAGAATTAATATTTTCAGCCCAGTGATCCTTCCCCCTATATGCCCTCTCCTTAGAAACCTGAAACACATAAATGGAGAATGGTACAGTTGAGATATGTAATTAACCTCTTGTCAGTGAGATTTATCCCTGTAGAGGACTCCAATTTAATACGCCCAACCATGGTGTTTAGATTATGGTTTAAGTAATTGATTCGATCTGGTGCATCATCTTCAGTATTGGCTTCACTTTATTTGTTTTCTGTAAATATACAATGTATATATATGTTGCAGAGATAGTAGGAACTGCCGATGCTGGAGAATCTGAGACACTTTCTGAAGAAGGGTCTAGACCCAAAACGTCAGCTTTCCTGCTCCTCTGATGCTGCTTGGCCTGCTGTGTTCATCCAGCTCTACACCTTGTTGTCTCTAATGGAAATATATGCTCTTTTATCAGGGTATTGAGGGTACCTTGCATTCCACATGAATTATCAATGATTAAAGTATTCATCTGTATTTAGTCGTTTAATTTTTTAATAAGGTAGGAACATATAATGAAACAATTTTATTTTGGCAATTATTTTATTTGTCTAATAGTGTTATTGAGCGTTGTAGAACTTATGAAACAATTCTATCGTTCACCCTTAGACAGCCAACCAACTCAGGGAAATATCTTCAATAGCTTTATCAATAGAATATGAACTGTAACTTGCAGAAAAAAGTACCAACATAAATATATTTGCATGAATATAAAACTATGAACACTCTATACATGCTTTCAATTCTTAGTTTTTTCTTCTTATTGTCTCCTTTTCCCTTGCCACTTGTTTTAAATTGAAAATGAGACTTTTTAAATCTTCTACCATTAATTACCAGCTGTGGGAGGGATTTTTATCAGTAAGAGTTTTGACAATTGAAAGCTAATTTTAAAAGCCACCATTCCGGCCACTGAACAATTCATACTTGCAAGATGTGGAGAGGCGCTTCCCAGGATATTCGGCAAGGAAACATTCATAAAATCACCAGGATAGATTTTCTGATATCAGATAATAGGCATCTTAGTACCTCTGACGCACTTCGAAATAGATACGATGTTAGTCAACATGAATCTGAAATGAAACATATTTTTCCTTGTCCATCTAGTTTACACAATTACGCATAGCTCCAAGGCTAGTTGCAGTGTTGGTGAAATCCAAAGAGATGCATACAATTAATTAAGAAATGGTGGGATTGGAAGCCCAAAATCCTTGCAGCTTTGTAAAAGGCTTGAAAGGCTTGAGAACTTAGGAGCAAGAATAGACCAGTCGGCCCCTCAAGCTTGCTCTGTATTAAGATTGTGGCTGACCTAATTGTGGCCTCAGCCACTTTCCTATCTGGTTCCCGTTGATATCAAAAATCTATCCAACTCTGCCTTGAATAACTTCAAAGATGTAGCCTCTAATGCCTTCTGGTGAAGAGAATTTCACATACTAATGACCCGCTAAAAGAAAACAAAACTTCACAGAGCCATAGCTGACCATGGTGCTCACTCAGCTAATTCCAATTGCCCACATTTGGTCCATATTCCTCTAAACCATTCCCATCCATGTACCTGTCCAATTTTTCTTAAATGTTGCTATTATACCTGCCTCAACAACTTTCTCTGGCAGCCCGTTCCATACACGCACCACTCTCTGCGGGAAGAAGTTGTCCCTCAGGTCCTTCTTAAATCTTTTCCCTCTCACCTTAAACTTATGCCCTCTAGTTTTCAATTTTCCATCCCTGGGAAAAAGATTATATACGTTCATCCTGTCTATGCCCCTCATGATTTTACACACCTCAATAAAGTCACCCCTCACTCTCCTACGTTCCAAGGAATAAATTCCTTTCCTGGCCAACCTCTCCCTATAGCTCAGGCCTACTAGTCCTGTCAACATCCTCGTAAATCTTCTTTGCACACTTTCCAGTTTAACTATGCCTTTCCTATAACAGGGTGACCAAAAGTGTACGCAATACTCCAAGTGCAGCCTCACCAACGATTTATACAACTGTAACATAACATCCCAACTCCTATACTCTATGCCTCGACAGATGAAGGCAAGCACGCTAAATGCCTTCTTCACCACCCTGTCCACCTGTGACGCCACTTTCAATGAACTAGGTTCTTGTGCTCCTAGGTCCCTCTGTTCACAACGCTCCTCAGGACCTTACTATTAACTGTATAAGTCTGACCTTGGTTTGAGTTTTCAAAGTGCAAAACCTCACACTTAACTGTATTGGATTGCATTTGCATCAGCCAACTTCCCCATCTGATCAAGATCCCTCTGTAATTTTTGATTACCTTCCTCGTTATCAACGATACTTCCTAATTTTGCATCATCCACAAATTTAATAATCATGCCTTGTACATTCACATCCAGATTATTTATGTAAATAACAAATAACAAAGGTCGCAGCACTGACCCCTGTGGCACACTACTACTCACAGGCCTGCAGTCCGAGAAATAACCTTCAACCATCACCCTCTGCTTCCTACCATCAGCCAATTTTGAATCCAATTAGCTAGCTCTCCCTGGATCCCATGAGACCTAATCTTCATGACTTCCTGCTGTGCAGGACCTTGTCAAAGGCCTTACTAAAGTCCATATAGACAACATCCACTGCCCTGCCCTCATCTATCCTCTCAGTTACCTCTTCAAAAAATTAAAAGATTTGTCAGACGTAACTTCCCGAGTACAAATCTATGCTGACTATCCCTAATCAGACCTTGACTATCCAAATGTTGGTTGATCCTGTCCCTCAGTATCCTGTCCAATAACTTACCTACCACTAATGTTAGGCCTGTAGTTTCCTGGCTTGTCTTTCCTACCTTTCTTAAACAATGGAACAAAATTAGCCAGGACCTCTATCCCAAAGAGAGACCTCATACACTTATACTGTGTTCCCTAGTTTTAATCTCCCCCACAGAAGAAACGTCCATTTGATATTCACCTCAAGTGCCCTCAGGATCTCATAAGTTTCAATAAGATTACCAATGGATATAGGCGCTATCATTCCAATCTTTTTACATAAGATAACTCATTCATCCCTGGAATGAGTTGAGTGAACTTTCTTTGAACAGTTTCTAACAAAATTACATCATTTTTCAAATAAGGGGGCCAAAGCTTTACATAGCTTACTGAATATGATCCCACTGAGTTCTTGTCCAGCTGCAGCAACATTTCCATACTTTTACATTCAGACTCTGGCTTTATGTCATTCCATTCCCCTTGTAATAAATGCCAACATTCCATTTGCCTTACTAACTAACTTGTACTTGTATATGAATTTTTGGGATTCATGTATCAGGACACCCAGTTCCCTCTGAATCAGAGTTCTCCAATCCCTCTATTCTTCCTGCCAAAATGCACAAATTCAAACCTTTCCACATTATACTCCATCAGTCGATTTTCTTTGCTTAACTTTACATTTTCTTGACACTTATTTTCTACCTATTTTGCTGTTGCTGCCAAATTTAGCTACCATACATTTGGTTTCTTTATCCAAGTCATTGGTATAGATTGTATATAGCTGAAGCCCCAGAACTGATCCCTGTAGCAGTCCAGTTGGTGTAACTTGCCAACACAAAAGAGAACACATTTTCCTGCTCCAGATAGCTAGCCAATCCCTTATCCAAACTACTATGTTACCCCGATACCATGTAGTAGCCATTGTTGTAACACATTAACAAATGCCTTTTGGAAATCCAAGAACACCTTTCATGCACCTCAATTGTTACTTCCTCAAAAACTCTAATGAATTGGTTAAACATGATTTTCTTTTCACCAAACTATGTTGACTCTGACTGATTAGATTATGATTTCATTAGTATTGTGCCAGAATCTCCATAATAATTTATTTTAGCAATTTCTGTACGACAGATATTTGACTAATTGGCCTAGAGTGTCCTGCTTTTTGTTTCCCTCCTTTCTTGAATAAAGATGTTATGTTTGCTATTTCCAATACATTGATACCTTTCCAGAATCTAAAAAATGTTGGAAGATTATAACTCGTACATCTTGTATCTCTGCAGTCACTTCAAGACCCTTGGCAAGAATTCAGTAACACAAAGTCAGAATTATTCAAAAGCAGTCTTGCAGTATTAACATTCATCCAGAGAGAAAATGTTTATAACAGCAGAAGTGCTGTTAATGGCAGTCTCCAAAGTAGTCAAGGCTACAAAAAACTCCAACATCAGAAGGCTGTTGAAAATATGAGGTTAAGGGGCCCAAGTTAAGGAGTGGCACAGTGGCTCAGTGGTTAGCACTGCAGCCTCACAGTACGTATTTGATTCCAGCCATAGTTGACTGACTGTTTGGAGTTTGCACATTCTCCCCATGTCTGTGTGGGTTTCACTGGGTGTTTCAGGTTCCTCCCACAGTCCAAAGATGTGCAGGTCAGGTGGATTGGCCATGCTAAATTGTCTGTAGTGTCCAGGGATGTGTGGACTAAGTGGACCAGCCATGATAAATGCAGGATTATGGAATAGGGTGGGGATCTGGGTCTGGGTAGAATGCTGTTCGGAGGGTCAGCGTACACTAAATGGGCTGAATGGCCTCTTTCCTAAGTTGAATAGTAAGTGATCTGCGTTAGCAGGTTGTTTAAGGGTCTCAGGAAGAGACAGTAACTGAAGAAAATAGCATTGAATGAATGCAGAACTTTGCCAACACGAAACCAATTACCTGGTAATTGAGCAAAGAGCTTTAAAGTGTGGTCAGTAAACTGAGTGTTGGTAAACCTGTTGCTGAGAGTAAAATGGTCAACTTTTTCTCTTTCTGATATTTGCAATGAACTTGTTTCAAGTAGTTTGATATGGTGTAACATAGTTTGCATTTTTCTTTTGTTTAATAAACTCTTATGTTCTTGTGAATATGTTGAGCAAATGACCACCAAAGTAAACAAATAGTAAAAAAATGATTTATACCTATCACTCTGGGGTCTCACTTATCCAATATTACCATCTGCTCATATTCTCTCATACTCTATTTTCTCCCTCTTTGAGTCATTCTTTGCTGGTTTTTAAAATGTAACCAATCTTCTGACCCACTAATGTATGGAGATTTATAGTTTCTTTTCTTCAGTTAGCTATTTTCTTTAGTTAAGGTCTCTTCCTGAGACCATTAAACAACCTGCTAACACAGCTCAGTCATTATTCAACTTGAGCTCCTTAACCTCATATTTTCCACAGCCTTCTGATGTTGGAGTTCTCTGCAGCCGGGACTGCTGGTTTTTAAAATCTGACCAATCTTCTGACTCACTAATCTCTGCAGATTTATAGTTTTAATTTAATTTTATATTTAAAAATGTATTTTGAGATAGTCATGATGGATTCATGAATTCATCTGATTTCCAATCTTTCTTCTGTTGACTTCAATTTCACTACTATGATTGGGATCTTACTGCATTACTATTAGCCAGGTGTATAGATTATATAAAGTCTATAATCATTTTCTGTCTTGGGTGTTGGAGACTTAAAATCAAGCTGCTCAGGAAGCACAAATTAGGTAAATGCAGTTATCTCGAGAGTGGTTTGTAGGGCTGGCAAAGATTATAGAGAAGGAAGAGGCAAAACCTTGGACAGATTTCAAAGCAAGAATGAGAATTTTAACATTGAACAGTTGCTTGGCTGGGTGTAAGTCAGGAATGGTAGGACAATGAAACTTGGTGCAAGTTAGGATACAGACCGCAAAGCTTTGGATCATCTTAAAGTTTCCGGATGTTGGAATGTGGAAGACCAATAGAGTTAACATTTCAACTGCAATGTGACTTCTTCAGAACTGCTGTTTTTCTCTCTCTGAAGATGCTAACACTAACCCCGGCCCTAACCCTAATACTGAGTTTCTCCAGCATTTTCAGTTTTCATTCCTGATTTTAATCACTCCATAATTGGTGCCTATGTCTTCAACTGCCTTGGATCTAAACTCTGGAATTACCTCCCTATGTCTCCCTACCAGGCTTTTGGACATTTGTCTTATTTACCATCTTATCTGACTTAATATCATATTTCGTTTGGTAATGTTTCTGTGAAACCTTGGCTGGGGGGTGAGGGGTCGGGGTGGGTGGGGCGGAGTAATCATGTTAAAGGTGTGAGATAAATGCAAAGGATTGTTGTTGTTTCTATATTCCTAGGCTATTTCATTTGTAGGTGATGCTATGAGCATAACGTTACATGGCTTCATGATTCAGGGCTACCTAGAAAACAAAAAAGAACTAATTTGACAGGGAAATAAATATATTTTTTAAAAAGAAATGTAAGGAACACCAGGTTGTAAAGCAAGCATCAGAAACTTTGAAATCAATTCAAAAATTGGACAGCCAATCAAAGAAAAGGAATTTCCCTGTTTAATCGTGGCATCCATCTTCATATCCTTCCCTCCCCATTTTATCCTTTCTTCCTTCTCTCTTAAATTTCTTTCCTTCCAACCTTCTGTTTTCCCATTTTTCTCCTTTTGCTCTTCCTGACCCTCTACACACTTCCATTCCACTCAAAATTCTTACACCTTATCTTTTGTCAATTCTCTCTTTCTTGCCCTTCTCTCCCTTGATTATGTTTTCCCATCTCTTTGTTCCTCTTCTCTCCCATCCTTCTTCTTCTTCCCTTTCCTTCTGTCAGCTTTTCATATGTAGTCTTTTCCTCTTCTGTCCTCCCATTGTTCTCATCAACACTATCTTTACCTTCCCATCCTCATTGTTCCCTTTCCTGTGCTGGCCTCTTCTTTTAATTTGTGCCATGGATATAAATAAAAGGTAGTTACTAATAAATCCATTAAAGAATTCAGGGGAAACTCACTGATACAGAGAATGGCTTGAATGAGCATTTGGCTACAACATGGAGTAGCTACTGCAAATTATACAATATATTTAAGGGGAAGTGTATGTGGAAGAAGGGTATAGAAAGATATGTTGATTTTTCAAATTCATTTTGTGGGATGTGGGCATCGCTGGCTGGCCAGCATTTATTGCATGTCCCTAGTTGCCCTTGAGAAGGTGGTGGTGACCTGCCCTCTTGAACTGCTGCAGTCTACCTGTTGTGGGTTGACCCACAAAGTCATTGAGGGAGGGAATTCCAGGATTTTGACCCAGTGACAGTGAAGGAACGGCGATATATTTCCAAGTCAGGATGGTTAGTGGCTTGGAGGGGAACTTGCAGGTGGTGATTTTCCCATGTATCTGCTGCCCTTGCTCGTCTGGATGGAAGTGCTCTTGGGTTTGAAAAGTGCTGCCTGAAGATCTTGGGTGAATTTCTGCAGTGCATCTTGTACATAATACACACTGCTGCTACTGAGCGTTGGTGGTGGAGAAAGTGGATGAATGTAGATGTATTGCCAACAAGCTGGCTGCTTAGTCCAGGATGGTGTCAAGCATCTTTAGTGTTTTTGGAGCTGCCCCCATACAGGCAAGTGATGAGTATTCCATCAGACTCCTGACTTGTGCCTTGCAGATGGTGGACAGGCTTTGGGAAGATAACAGGTGAATTCTTCTCTGAAGTATTCCTAGCCTCTGACAAGCTCTTTTAGCCACTGTGTTTATTTGGCAAGTCAGGTTGATTTTCTGGTAAATGGTAACCCCCAGGATGTTGATAATGTGGGATTCAGTGATGGTAACATCATTGAATGTTAAGGGTAGGTGGTTAGATTGTCACTTATTGATGATGGTCATAGCCTGGCATTTGTGTGGTGCAAATGTTACTCGTGACTTGTCAGCCCAACCCTGGATATCGTCCAGATCTTGTTGCATTTGAACACGGACTGCTTCAGTATCTGAGGAGTTGTGAATGGTGCTGAACATTATGCAATCATCAGCGAACATCTTGACTGTTTGTAGTCTTTGGTGCGTAGGGACACCCAATATGATGTTAGAAAGGGAGTCCCAGGAGTTTCTAGGTAGGAAGGTAAATAGCATGGATGACGCAAAGAGTCCAGAGAGGTTATGAATGGGCAAAAACTTGGCTGATGATCTATAATATGGGAAAATCTGAGGTTATGCACTTTGGCAGAAAGAATAGAAAAGCTGAATGCTATTTAAATGGAGAAAAACTGCAGACAGCTGCAGCACTGAGGGATGGAGGGCAAGGAGTCCTCAGGCATGAATCACAAAAAACTAGCATCCAGGTATAGTGAAGGATTGGTAATCCAGTTCCAAATCTGGGTGGCATTTTGTTTGAAGGGGAGCTTGAAGGTGGTGGTGTTCCTGAGCATCTACTACTTTTATTCTTCCAGGAGTAGAATTTGTGGGTTTGAAAAGTTTGCAAAGGACCCTTGGTCCTCTATTTATTGTAGACTGCATCTTTTAGATGGTTCACATGGCTGCTACTTTGTGACAGGAGCGAAAGGAGTGAATATTGAAGGTCATGAGTGGGATGCCAATCAAATGCATTGAGTTAAGGAGTTGGGAGGTCATATTGCAGCTGTACAGTACATTGGTTAGGCTACTTTTGGAATACGGTGTTCAGTTGTGGTCTCACTGCTATAGGAAAGATGTTGTGAAACTTGAAAGGGTTCAGAAAATATTTACAAGGATGATGCCGGGATTGGAGGGTTTCAGCTATAGGGAGAGGCTGAACAGGCTGGAGCTATTTTCCCTGGAGCATAGGAGGCTGAGGGGTGACCTTATTAGAAGTTTATAAAATTATAAGGGGCATGGATAGGATGAATCATCAAGGTCTTTTCCCCAGGGTAGGGGAGTTGAAAACTAGGGGGTATAGGTTTAAGGTGAGAGGGGAAAGATTTAAAAGGGACCTAAGAGGCAACTTTTTCATGCGGAGGGTGGTGTATGTATGGAATGATCTGCCAGAAGAAGTGGTGGAGGCTGGTACAATTACAACATTTAAAAGGCATCTGGATGGGTACAGGAATAGGACAGGTTTAGAGGGAAATGGGCCAAATGCTGGCAAATGGGACAAGATTTATTTAGAATATCTGGTTAGCATGGACAGTTGAACCTAAGGGTATGTTTCCACACTGTACATCTCCATGACTCTACGAGTCTTAAATGGAGTGCTTTATCCTGGGAGGTGTCAAGCATAGCAAACAAATTCTGCTCAACTGTACTTTCTCTCCACAGATGCTGCCTGACCTGCTGTGTTTTTCCAGCAATTTCTGACTTTCTTACAGAGGGGGAAAGCTGACCAAGTTATCAATCATTTTTAAATCTCAGTGTTTTGCAATTAAATTTAAAAGTACAATTCTGAATAAATGTTGTACATTTTCTTGGCTTTTTCTGAACCACATAAATAAACCATGGAAAATGCAAAACGGTAATGTTTATTTTCCTTTCTCTTTTCTCCTTACAGCACTGCATTCAGAGATAGGAAATTTCGAAGGCTCAAAGATATTCATTTTATTGTCAACAATAATGACATGGGGACAGACTAAATCCACCGAACCTGTAAGAAAAATTCAAAATATTTTGACATTTGTCATTTAATCATTAGGAAAATTAAATGACTTAGCAACCATTTAAGCATGTTACAAAATTAAGCGTTTATTGCAATTGAGTTCTAATACCATTTAAGATGGAACTAACCTTCAGAATACAAAACCCATTGATCATGAGTGATTTGTCCATTAATTTGAATTGGGTGAAAAATTTGTGGATGTGTTGATTGATTGAACAAACCGTGACCGCAGGATATAGTTTGAAGTGCAAGTTGTTCCTCAATAAATTTAGTGATGTTACATTTATTAAACTTGTGAAGAAATTGGCTTAAAATCTAAACTGCAATTTCAGGTGGACATTGCCATCATGATTCCCCATCAGTTATTGTGTTTGCAGAGCATGTTGTCGTCATCTCCCTAATATACTTATCTAAATTATTCTACAGTGAAAATAAATGAACTGAGCCAGTTTGCGAGTGTGTACAGAATTAAATGCACCTTGCTGCAATTACGTTTTATTCCTCTGAAACAGGGAAAGGAAAATGCCACCAATATTCCAGCTACTGATTGCCATCCAGCTTTTGTGATGATACCTTGTCTAGGCATCCTAAAATTGATGTAGTTTCGGTCTGAATGATGAGAACATTTCAAACGTATCCGCATGGAAGTACCTAATTTTCTGCATTTCGGTCCAACTGAGGATTTGTATGGGTGCAGGAAGCACACAGCGTGCATTGATGAAATTTAAAAGGCTGGGGACCATTAAAAAGACATGCAAAATGAGGTTGCAACATTTCTGAAATGCTTTGAAAAATTCTAGAAACCACCTCAATACATCAGAAACCTTTGCTAAAGCTTGAGGGTGAGGAGGATGGGAGATAACAGGCATGAAGATAAAGATAACCTAAGATCATGTCACTCTGCAGTGATGCTGCAGTCCAGCTGTTGACTCCTTCTTTCATTGCTTTTGAAGCAGAAATAGAAGGACTTTTGGTGCAGTGATAGCACCCATACCTCTGGGCCAGAAACATTCGGTTTGAGCCCCACACCAGAACTTAATGGCTGTGGAAGACGTGTTCATACCATGGAGAATTGAGTTCATCATCATATTATAAATCCTTCCAGTGTGTCTGATGGCAGGCGGTAAGAAGTGGGAGAGTTTTCTGATGCGCTATCCTTCAAAAGGCAATGGCAAACCACTGCAGTACGTTTCCCATAAGTGTAGACCAATCAGATGGACATGTATGGCCCAAACCTCATAAAGAAAGATGGGAAAAATCACAGATGTAAGTAGAGATAGTGCTGTATTAGATAGTTACGTGGAGTTTGGACATTTTTGTTGCTCCAGTGCATCATTCCATAAGAAGTGACAGCTTTGAAGGTGACATCTACTGTGTCGCTTGATTGCTACAGATGTCTGAGTTCAAGATTGTATAGCTATGCGCAATGGTTCCCTTTTAAGTTTATAATTGTGGGTGGATAGTCATTAAAAGCATCATACCTTTAAATTTTCTTGCTCTGCTATGCATTTGAGCATTTAATACGAAGTAAATCCTACATAGTACCATCCAAATGAGTTCAGATGTGTATAGTTCAGCAGGAACATTGTTCTTGACATTTTTTTTGTTTGGACTTGGTGATTTCCTGCAGATTTTTGAAAGCAGATTCAACAAAACTGCTGATTTGACCAGTGACTCTGCAAATGCAACCAACAAGGCTATGGTATAGATATTTTTATTCAATCTGTTCAGGGATGTTTGTATACGCCTCTGGAGCATGTGGGACATCAACCTGGGCTTCCTGGCTCAGAGGAAGGAACAAGATCACTGCACCATAAGGTTATGAAGCATGTTGATCTCCAGATTTTTATCAATTGCAGTACCACTGAAATCAGGACATACTGTGATAGATTTCTTCCAAGAAAATGCCTAATGTCATGGTAACTCAGGTATTCCTGTATCTTAATGAAAACCATCGGGGCCTGGTGTACAAGTCTCCTTTGGAAACCATTTGTTCCCTACTTTTTGATTGAGTTTCATCAGATTTATGCCCTTAAATGAGGCAGAACTGATTGGAAACCTCAATGTTCCGGTGAGGAGAGATTGGTTTTAGCCACTAATATTTGAGAAGCTAAACATTCTCACTGGCAGTGCTAAAACATCAAAATTTTATGTTGGACAAGGCGATGGAGAGCTACTGCACCTATAAAGCCATGCATGGCATGAGTTGACACCTTTATGAGAGAGGAAATTTGGAGAAAAACATCTTAATGCTTTAATTGCTGCCTTGTACACTCTCCATTAATACATATATTCTGCATGTAACCATAAGATGATGTATATTTTTACATTTGCTTTTGATGTTGTAATATGTTTTATTGACTAAAAAATAAAGTTAACTCTTTTTTTTTGTAGGATGATCCACTAACAGAAGATGACTATCGTAGAAGAAAGGCCCATCCAAATTTTAAGGATCACCTCAGCCTTGAGAAACTGGTTATCAAACTTGGAAAAACCGTATGTAATCACGGACAATACCTTGAACTTTAAAAAAAATAAACTTCCTGTGTGCAGCTTTAATAGTTCAGTGTTTCTGAAGCTAAGAGAGAGTTTCGGAGGAGCTTCTTTAACTGAACATTGGCAAGAATGTGGAATGTGCAACATCAGAGTACTTGAGAAATATAGAATATTTGCTTTCAGGGGTAGTTAGGCAAAATAGCCAGTTTCTGTGTTTGCATACTTGATATGAAAACTAAGATAAAATGCAGCTTATATGTTCAGTTCCTAATGTTGGATGAATCTCTCAGACCATAAATAGTGGTTCCAAGACAATTTTTAAAATATTTAAATAAGGGGTACTGTGAAGGTATGAGACCAAAGCAGGCTAAAATGAGTTGACAAATTAGGTTAAATGATAAGTCAAATGAGATGCAGTGGCAAACATTTCAAAGGATATTTCATAGAATGTATCCCAATGAATTAAGAAAAATACCAAGGAATAGAATTACATTCAGTGGTTAAATATAACTGTTAAAGATTGTGACATCAAACTAAAAGTAAAAGCATCGGGGGTTGTGGAGGTGGGGTGGGGGTGGTGGGGAGGAGGTTGTGGTGGGGGCGTGGAATCATAGCACCAGGGACCTAAGTTCGATTCCACCCTCAGGCGGCTGTCTGTGTGGAGTTTGCACGTTCTCCCACTGTCTACGTGAGTATCCTCCGGGCGCTCCAGTTTCCTCCCACAGTCCAAAAATGTGTAGGCTAGGTGGATTGGCCATGCTAAATTGCCCATAGTGTTCAGGGATGTGTAGATTAGGTGGGCTATGGGGAATGGGTCTGGGTGGAATGCTCTGTGGGTCGGTGTGGACTTGTTGGGCCGAAAGGCCTGTTTCCACACTGTAGAGATTCTATGACTCTTCTATAATTTTCCAAAGACAAGTGGTAGACTAGAAAATTGGGCGGAATATTTAAAAAAAAGCAAAGAATGACTAAAAATTAAGGACGGAAAATTTTGAATATGATAGCAATTTAGCTAGAAATATAAAAACAGATAGTAAGAATTTCTCTGAATATTTAAAGAAGAAAAGAGTTAACTAAGTGAGCATTAGTGCTATAGAAATGAGGCTGGAGAATTAATAATGGAAAATAAGAAAATAAGAAAATAGCAGATGAATTGAACAGGTATTTTGTATCAGTCTTCACCATATACAATAGTGTATACACTATACACACTAGTACAAATGCTGAAGTATCAAGATTAGATCCTCGGACAAGGTAATGGAGAGCTGCCATACCTATAGAGCCATGCATGGCATGAGTTGACAACTTTATGAGAGGGAAATTATACCATCACAAGTATATATTACTTGATGACATTGATAGATACATTGATACATCGGTTTTAATATTCTAAAACACCCTTGATTTGGGGTGAATCCCATTAGATTGGAAAATGAGACAGTAATCTGGAAGCTACAGGCCAGTTAGATTAACATCTGCTGTACTGAAAATATTAGAAGCTAATATTAAAGACGCTAAAGTAGGTCACTTGAATAACTTAGAGGTAATTAGGCAGAGTTAACAACATTTCATGAAAGGGCAATCTATTGGAGTTCTTTGAAGAGGTAACTCATGCTATGGATAAAGGGAATGCTGGAAATATTGTACTTAGATTTCCAGAAGGCATTTTTATGACACGTCAATCAAAGGTTATTGTGAAAAGTAAAAGCTCATGTGTAGGGGGTAGCGTATTGGCATGGCTAGAAAAATTGGTTGGCGAACAGAAAGCAGAGAGTAAGCGTAAATGGATCTTTTGCAGATTAATAAGATGTAACATGTAGTGTGCCATAGGGATCTCAACTGTTTACAATTTATGTAAATGATTTGGAAAACAGGACAGAAGGTGTGTTGTCCAAATTCACTGATAACACAAAGAAAGATGGGAAAATCAGTTTTGCAGAAGACACAAGGTTGTTACCAAAGAGATTGCAGTGCTTTGAAATGCAGAGGGTTCTGGGTATCTTCTCACATCAATCAGAAAAGGTTTGTGTGCAGATACAGTAATTAGGAAAGCTAACAGAATGTTATCATTCATCATGAAGGGAATTGAATACAAAAGTAGGGAGGAAATGCTTCAATTATTCGGGGCACTGGAGACCGCACCTAGAGTAATGTGTACAGTATTAGTCACTTATAAAGAAGGATATTAATGCATTGGAGGCATTTCAGAGAAGGTTGATTATAGTAATACCTGTAATGGGAGTGGACTGGGTGTTGTGTTTTGTCTTAGGAGGAAAGGATGAAGAGGTTAGGCTTATATCTGCTGGAGTTTAGAAGAATAAGAGGTGACTTGATTGAAACGTAGAAGATCTTGAAGGGTCTTGACAGGGTGATGTGAAAAGGATGTGTCCACGTATGGGAAAAGGATGCATCCCCTGAACAGGGGTTCAGGGTTTAATGATCATGGGTTGCCCATTTAAAACAGAGAGAAGGTGATTTTTTTTCTCTCTTGGGGTATGGGGGTTTCATGGATCTTTGGAACTCTTTCCCTGAAAATCCGGTGGAAGCAGAATTTATTTTTAAAGCAGAATTATATAGATTTTTGTTAAGCAAGGGGGTGAAAGATTATCGGGGTATGCAGAAATACAGATTTGAGGTTACAATCCAATCAGCCATAATCTTATTGAATGGTGGAGCAAGAAAGAGGGGCCTGATGGCCTAGTCCTCATTCATATAGAATCATAGAATCACACGGGACAGTTAGTCCATCAAGACTGTGCTGCCAAAAATATACTAGGACCTACACTAGTCCCACTTTCCTGCACTTTATCTTTAAATGTTGTGATACTTCAAGTGTTCATCCAAGTACCTTTTAAAGGTTGTGAGGTTACCCGCCTCAACTATGCTCCCAGGCAGTTAATTCCAGACTGTTATGTGAAATAACTCCAAGAGACCAATATCTCATCACTAAGTCACCCTTTATTTAGGTATGCAAAGTCCTTGACTCTGGTGCAGCCTTATCATAGTCAACTCCCAAAGCCAGGTCTCAGACTGTCAGGATGTTTGAAACTTCTGTTTTTATCTGTCAGCGAGGGCTCCCTGATTGGACCAGATTAATAGCCCCAATTAGGGAAGTTATATTCTGTGAGGTCCACCTGGCTGACCTCATTACACTAACTACACTCTGGATGAAAATTCTTTTCCTCAATTCCCCTCTAAAATTCCTGCCTTTCACTTTAAAATTGTGTCTCTTTGTTCTTGGCCTTTCAATTAAGGGCAACAGCTGCTTTTTATCTACCCTTTCCATGCTCCTCATAATCTTATATATCTATATTAGGTCCCCCCGAACCTTCACTAATCCAACAAAATCAACCTGAGCTTATCCAGCCACTCTTCACAACTGAAATGCTCCACTCGAGGCAACATGTTGCTGAATCTCCTCTGCACCCCCTCCAGTGCAATCACATCCTTTCTACAGTGTGTAATTGTATCCTTTTCATTATATGCATCAAATCATGAGTGACTCAAACAAGCTTTATTTCAACTAGCTTTCAAATTTTTATCACTATTTTATTTTCAGATTTTAGAGAGAAAATTGTAATGAATCATATTGAAGTAAATGATGTACTGCTTTTAATGCATTCTACATCAGCCCTTTATTGTCAAGAAAGAAGTGAAATATGTTAAGAATGACTTCATTGTTTAGCAATGATGTGTAATAGTTTTACAGGATAATTTATCACCTAGCTCCCTGAGCACACAATTGGCATTGTGGTTCAGCTTGGCGCTGTAGAATTCTACTGATATTAATTTCCAACATAAAAATCAGTTGTTTTAATAATGGCCAGTTGATCCACAATGCCAAGTTTCTCCCCAAGAAGTAATTGAAGCTAGGATCAATTGAAAACTTAAAAACCTGAGATGCATGGACTTTTGTTAAGGGTACAAATGGTTAGGAAACCAAGGTAGATACGTAGAAATTAAGATGGAATTCATTGATCTAATAAGGTTATTTGTTCCCATATCCTTAAAGTGGCTAGTAAGAACATCAAGTGATCACAAGGATACTTTTGATGATAATGAAAGATAATATAAAGTGTATAAATATGGAACAAGGCAACATAATTATTTTTGATGCAGGATTAATTGTGGGACAATGCCTCTGCTTGGGATGTCCCTGCATGGTTAAAAGAACTCAGCAACTCCAATGCCAACTGGAGGTCAAACCTTGAAGAAGTTAATAATTACAAAGAGAGTATGTTGGCATTCATAGCAAGATGGCAATGGTGGATGAATGAGAAAGGATCAAACAGGACAGGAGTGACAAGAGTGTGAGGATAAGACTGGTTGTCATTGCAAGCATTAGTACAGAGCTTGAGGGTCAACAGTGTGAGGCCTATCAAAAAGTGCACAGTATACCTATTGGTACATTACATTTTAAGTTGATCTCGATGCTGTCTGTAATAGGTTCGAAGTTTATTTAGTATGGTGTTTGTTACCACTTCTTTTTCAGCTAAAGGTTGTTAGTAAAGTTAAGACCGCAGACATAGTAAAAGAAATAGACCATTCAGCCCATTGAGTCTGCTCCATCGTTCAATGAGATCATGGATGATCTGATAATCCACAACTCCACTTTCCTGCCTTTTCTCCATAACCCTGGATTCCCTTACCAATTTTAAAAAATCCATCTCGGCCTTTCATAGGCTCAATGAGTCAGCTTCTGTGGGCCTGTGTGGTAAAGAATTCTGTAGACTCACAACTCTTGGAGAAGAAATTCCTCCTCATCACTGTCTTAAATGTACGACCCCTTATTCTGAAATCATGCCTTCTGGTCCTAGATTCTCTTTCCGGGGGAAACAACCTGCATCTTCCCTGTCAAGTTCTTTAAGAATCTCGTGTTTCAATAACGTTGCCTGTCATTCTTCTAAGTGGTCAATGATTGTAAAAGTCTATTTCATACAGTAATATATTATATAATTTCATTAATTAATGAGTATAAATGGTGCATTGATTTGATTGTGAAGAAAGTATTTTATATATCTTCTATTTTAGAAGAAGCGCAAGTTTACTACATACGTTGTTGCTTCTGGGCTTGTTTATGGAATGGAAGAAAGTGCTTTTCATTTCTTTTTTAAGGTAATAAATGTTTCACTGTTTTCTGACAATCGTGAGCGTACAGAAACCTTAACTTGACCTGCAGCATAGACACATTGAAACTAGGCACAGTAGTTGGCGATTCATTTGTTCAAATCTGCACTGCCATTCACGGTGATCCTCAATCTCAATGCCATATTCCTGCTTTCTCCCAATGTCCCTTGATGCCTTTAAAATTTAAAAGATTAACTATTTCTTTCTTGAAAATATACAATGACTTGACCTCCACAGCTTTCTGTGATAGAAAATTCCACAGGTTCACTACCCTTCGAGTGAAGAAACCTTTCCTTATCTCATTCCTAAATGGTCTATCCCTTGTCCTGAGCATGTATTCCCTGGTTCTAGACTCCCCAACCAGAAGAAACATCCTCCCTGCATCTAGTCCATTCAGCCTTGTAAAAATTTTATATATTCCAATAAGATCCCCTTTTATCCTTCTAAACTCAAATGTATACAGGTCTAGTCCAACCAATCTCTTCTCATAGGACAGTTCTTCCTTTACCAGTATCAGCCTAGTGAACTTTTACTGCACTCTGTTTATGGAAAATATATCCTTTCTTAGTCAGGGAGACCAAAACTGCATACAATACGCCAGATGTGGTTTCATCAAGGCCCTGTTTAACTGCAGTAAGACATCCCTACTTCTGAATGCAAATCCTCTTGCAATGAGGGTCAAGAAACAATTTGCCTTCCTAATTGCTTGTTGCACCTGCCTATCTACCTGCATTGACTGGTGTACAAAGACAGTCAGATCCCTTTGTATATTCTCTTTTCCCAATATATTACTATTTAATAATATTCGTTATTTCGATTTTTCACTCTGAAGTGTATAACTTGACATTTAGCTACAATGTGCTGCCTCTGCCATCTGTTTTTCCATTCACTCAACTTGTCGAAATCACCTTGAAGCCTCCTTACATCCTCCTCACAGCTCATAATACCACCCAATTTTGGAAACTTGGAAATGTTCCATTTGGTGGCTTCATCCAGGTCATTTACATACATCATAAATAGCTGGGGGCCAAGCACTGATCGTTGTGGTACCTCATTAATCACTGCCTGCTACCTATTTATTCTCACTCTCTATTTCCTGTCTGTCGATCAATTCTCATTATATATCAAGATATTACCTCTATCCAATGTGTACTAATTATACCCACTAACTTCTTCTGAGACCTTGTTAAAAGCATTCTGAAAAATCAAAATATATCACATGCACTGGTTCTTCATTGTCTATTCTACTGGTTGCATCCTCAAAAAATGCCAGTAGATTTGTTAAGCATTATTTGTCTTACATAAATCCACTTTGGCTTTGTCCATTCCCATTACTACTTTCCAAATGTTCTGTTGTCACATCTTTTATAAGGGACTCTGGAATTGACTGTAAAGGGGCCTAAATTGACTTTACTAATATTTTTCTTTCCACATATTTGTAGAAGATTTTGCAGTCTGTTTCTATGTTCCCTGTAATTTTACCCTCTTACTCTATTTTCACCTTCTTGATCAAACTTTTTGTCCTCTTTTGCGAAATTCTGAAGTGCTCCCAAACCTCTGGTTCGTTGCTCTGTTCTGGCAATTTTGTATATGTTTGTATCTGATGATATCCCTGCTTTCATTTGTAAGTTGTAGTTGAGCCATCTTTCTTTTTTTATTTTTGTATCAGATGGGAATGAATAATTTCTGCAGTTCATGTACACGTTCTTTAAATATGAACCATAACATCAGTTCTCCGTGTACAGAGTGAATGGAAGGTTGACATGAGAAAACTTGCCCAGCAACACCTGGTCACTGACTCACAATTTGGGCTCCATCAGGTACAGCCAGTTCCTGACCTCAGTATAGCCTTGGTCCAAACATGGACAAAAGAGTTAAATTCAAGAGATGCAGTGAGAGTGATTGCCCTTCACATCAAAAAGCCAAGCAAAACTGAAGTCCTGTGGGAATCAGAGTGAAAAGCCTGCGCTGGCTGGTTCAGATTTTGCACAAAGAAGGTGGTTATGTTTGTTAGTCATCTGAGTCTTGTGACAAGGCTATGGCTTTAAGAAGTCTATTTTATGCTGTTTTTCTTATGAAGAAAGGTTAAAAAAGAGGTACGAAGTAGTCCGCTCAAAGCCAATAGAGTAAACAGCTTGAGAGGCATTGAGGCTTTTTTTAAAAGTTGGAATAATAGAAGCAGCTTGAATGAGTAGGTTCAAGCTCCCATAGAACCAGGATTTTTAGCTTTAGCTTTCTGCAGTTGCCGGGTTCTTGAAGCTGTATGTGAAAGCTCTTATTCCTCTCTCTGTTACAGTTAAAAACTGAGGTTTTCTTCCTGATGCTAGAATTGCATGTGAGACAATCTGTTTTACTGAGTGTGCCTTTACCAAGGGTATGTTTATGGATATCACTATATTGGAATGTTATTTAGTAGTAATTAAATACCTATTATTTTGTTAAGCATTTCACTAGTTATAGTTAAGACAATTCTTTACTTTTATTTTATTTTGTCTGTAGTGTAAAAATATAGTGTGTTTTGCTTAAAATCAATAGTTTGACCAATCGAATTGCATCTGGAATGCAATGCCTTATCTTTAAAATAAGAAAAGGTGAGATTATCTTCTTAATTTATTTTGAGGGGGTTGGACTGGTCCATAACAGACCCAAGACATCAATGTAGGAGCTGTTCAGGGTAATGTATTGGGCCCAATCATCTTCCTTATTTATCTTATGCTTGCAGGGGTGTGGGCCAGCATTTGTTCCCCAACTCTAATTATGCTTAAATTGATTGGCTATGTAGATCATTTCAGAGGGTAATGAAGAGTCAATCACATTATTCAGGTTCTGGTTCACGGAATAAAGACAACATATTTCCTTCCATAAAGGACATTGCTGCACTACATGGATTATTATTCCAATTGACAATGGTTACATGCTCACTATCAGCCTAGTCTTTGACTCTAGGTCTTTTTAAAATTGAGCTTCACTGTTTGCCATGGTAGGATTTGAACCCATGTCCCCAGAACATTTGATTTGATTTGATTTATTGTAGTCACATGTATGTAAGTGCATTGAAAAGTTTTGTTTTGTGAGCAGTACAGGCAAACAAGGACATACAGATCACAGGGGGCTTCAAGCGAGGCATACAAGGTTACGGCTGCATGGGAGGTGCACAAAGCAAGATCAACATTATTTGAAGTTACAGAGGTCCATTCAGCAGTCTACCTGAGGCTCTAGATTTATTAATCCAAGTTTCACCTGCTTTGCTTCAACAATGAGCATCTCTCCATCATTAGCACAGAATTAGGAATACTCACTATTGATTGCAGAATATTCAGCAACATTGACAACTCATCAGATACTGAAGCGGTCTTTGTGCACATGCAACAAGACTTGGACAACATTCATAGAACATAGAAAATAGGAGCAAGAATAGGCCATTCAGTTCTTCGAGCCTGCTCCACCATTCAATATGACCATGGCTGATCATCCAACTGGATACCCTGTTCCTGCTTTCTCTCCATACCCTTTTTTCCCTTTAGTCCTATTTTATACAGTCCTGCTAGAATTTTATAGATTTCTATAAAAAACCCACATTCTTCCAAATTCCAATTAATATATTCCTAACTGATTCAACACATCAGTCCTGCCACTCCTGAAATCAGTCTGATAAATCCTTGTTGCATTCCCTCCATAACCAGAACATCCTTCTTCAGATAAGGAGACCAAAACTGCACACAATACTCCAGGTGTTTCTCACCACAGCCCTGCAGAAATGCAGCAAGACATCACCATTCCTGCACTCAAATTTTCTCACTATTCAAGTTTGAGCTGATAAGTAGCAAGTAATATTAATATAGCAGAAGTCTCAGGAATGGTCATCTCCAACAAAAGAGAGTCGAACCATGTTATATTCAGTAACAATTCTATCAGTGAATCCCTACTATGAACAGTTTGGGGGTTTTCAATAACCCAGAAATTGAACTGAAACAGTTATAAAAATACTGTGCCAACAAGAAGAGATCAGAGACTAGGAATTCTGCAGTGAATAACTCTCCATCTGATTCTTCCGAGTTTGTCCATAAGACAGAAGTCAGGAATATGTTTGAATACTGTCCACTTATTTGGATGAATACAGCTCCAACATACTCAAGAAGCTTGACGTCATCCACAACAAAGCAGCTCACTTGACTGAGAGATAGCAAGTACTGCAGATGCTTGAGTCAGAGACAACACAGAGTGGTGCTGGAGGAACACAGCAGGCCAGGCAGCATCAGAGGAGCAGGAAAGTTGACATTTCGGGTTGGCGCCCTTCTTCAGAAATGGGAAGGGGGAGGGGAGCTGGGAAATAAAAAGACAGGGGGGGTTGCTGGGGAAGGTAGGTGGAATGGTGATAGGTGAGTGCAGATAGGAAGTAGTGGGGATTGATCAGTGGGATGGGTGGGGCAGATAGGTGAGAGAGAAGGTGGACAGATTGTGTCAGGTCAAGGAGGTGGGGATGAGAGGGAGGGTTAGACATGGGATGAGGCCAGGGATGGGGAGATTTTAAAACTGGTGAATTCCATGTTTAGGCCATCAGGCTGTAGGCTCCCGAGGTGGAATATGAGGTGTTGCTCCTCTAGTTTGCGTGTGGTGTCATTGTGGCACTGGAGGAGGCCCAGGATGGACATGTCACCCAGGGAGTGGGAGAGGGAGTTAAAATGGTTGGTGACCGGAAGGTGTTTGTCGCATACAGAGCGCAAATGCTCTACAAAACGGTCTCCAAGTCTATGCTTGGTCGCACCAATGTAGAGGAGGCCACATCGGGAGCAGCAGATACAGTAAAGCAAGTTGGCAAATGTACAGGTGAACCTCTGTCTGATATGAAATGTTTGCTTTGGGCCTTCAATAGAGGTGAGGCAGGGAGGTGTAGGGGCAGATGTAACACTTCCTGCAGTTGCTGGGAAATGTGCCGGGTGTGGTGGAGTTAGTGGGGAGTGTGGAGAGGACAAGGGAGTCGCGGGGTG